CGAAAAGGACCTCTCGGTAAGCCGAGGAACGGCAGGGTTCCGAAAGCGGAACACGCATTGTATCCTGGAAGCGGGAACGAGAGGCAGAGGGAAGAAAGGCGGGAGGGAAGGCCGGTCCTTAAAGGCCTGGGCTTCTAGGAACTCCGACGTTGCATTCGGTCTCGAAACCACCGCGCACGAGTGGAAGTTGTTCACTTGGAGGCCACGACCGGCCGGTGTGCTACCACATGGGGTTTGCAGTTACCACGAAATATCTGAAGCCACATCGCGCAGTCCGTATCGCATTTCTCGATTCCCCGAGTTCCTTCGTCTCAGAAAATGTCGCTTCTCTTCGACATCCTTCGACCTGCAGGTTTAGTCCGCTCGTCTCGTACTATTTAAACAGTCGTCTGTGAATATACATTTTTTTGTTGAATTTCTGACGTTGGTTCACGGATTTTGTTACTTAACAGAAAATCCTAATGTTATACCTAACAAAATTCTATAATAATTAACACAATGAGAGTGATTGGTCAATTTGAAAATTTCACAGTTTAAGACTGTTCTGGAAATTCCAGGATATACCGTATTCCAGGATATTTTGCCGCATTTGACGCACAATCAATTTATTTTACGACAGTTGTGCTTAATAATTAAGAATCACGACCAGGAGACGAAACTGACAAAATAACTGTAATCTACAATCAACGCCAACGGTAAAGCATACAATTAGGGATTAAGGATGAATCGCGTCAGACTGATTGTGAGAAACAGGCGTAATCTAAGGATATGGTAAGGATACCTTTTCGTAGGAGGGTGAAGAGAAATAGCTAAATTTTATTGTCTGAACACATTTACATGTGTGTTGTACATGTGTGTGCGTGTATGCACGCAGCATCGATCGAGCGCGAAAAAGCATGGTGAGGCTGATTGGGTATCACCTTGCTCGGCTTCAATCGAGGCATCGCGGCATGGCCTGTAATAAATCTCCGGAAATTCTTCGTTTCTTCTTTTTATACTGTCGTTTGCCGTGCGCGCAACCATTATAGAGTGCGCGGAAAAAATCTCGTGGAATCACCTTACTTTCAAATCAAAATATACTTTTCAAAGAACGTTGGACTTCTCTTTGATAGATGACATTTTAATGAAAATATGGAAATAACATCAATCTTTCGAACAGTCCTCGACAGAAAAGTAACAATCGATTGAGAAAGTAGTGGATTATACAAAACTGGTAACTAAAAAATATATTGACTTTTTGTTTTTGTTTTGTTATTATGTTTTTAAATATTGAGCGGTTATAAAATATTTTCTTATATCACGATGCAAAGTTACTTCCATTGACGCGATATGACCTCATTTTCTACAATGTTGTACGGGACTTGCGGTAGGATAGTGTTATGTTGGTTGCGGTGTGTACTCAAACGAGAGCGTTGCACAAGCCGAGCAAGCCGGGTGGGTGATTTAGAGGAAACGAGTAGAAGAGGAAGAAGACGACAACGATGAAGAAGAAGGGTTGGCAGGTCGTTGAACATAAAAGTGGTCGCGCGCGCGCGCGAGAGAGAGAGAGAGAGAGAGAGAGAGAGAGAGAGAAGAGAGAGAGAGAGGAGGGGGAGGGGGAGAATCAGAGAAGCGAGTCACATGTTGTACCGCGCGCGCATCAAGACGGATCGACAGGAAAACGTGCTGCGCCAGTGTTACCGGCGGTAGCAGAAGCAGAGACGGCAGGCGCTTCTGCACTGGCAGATCATCGAGTCGCTCTAGCTAGATAGCTCGACGATAGCTGACTGGTCGGTCGGCTTGTACGTTCGTTCGTTCGTTCGTCTCCTAGTTTGTCTCCTTCTATCGCGCGGTCTCTTTCGTTCTCGTTCTCTCTTCTCTATCTCGCTCCATCACGCTCGCGTTGCACCTTCTCGCGAGCCTCACGACTCCCCCTCCGGGGCTGCGCCACCAGTAATTGCTTCCTTTGAGTAGCTCCGGAGGTGTAATTTAGTCCCCGACCAACAACCTTAACTAATTAACACACCGAGTAGCGAGCGAGTAAGTGAGCGAACGCGCGAGTGACGAAGAACGAGCCACGACGACTTGACTGACGGACTGGCTGGTTGACTAGTGGACTGGGTGGCTGACTGACTGGCTGACTGACTGACTCCTTCCTCTTCCTCACCTTTCCTCACCGTGCATCGTTCTATACACTCCTCCGTCCCCTCGCCTTCGCGTGTCGATGATCGAACTCGGACGAGTCGACCGCCGCGGGGCGTCTTCCCCTCTTGTCTTGTCGAGGCGCCTTGAGCCCAACTACTCACCACCTCGAATGCAACTTCGTTACATGACCTCGCGTGTCATACATTGAGTACTTTGAGTACTTGAAGAAGCTGATCTGCCAACTTCGATTTAATCATTCTCAGGATAAGCCGTGGATCAGCCACCGACGGATAGTTGCAACACGCGACTAACATGTGATGAACGCAGCGATTACAAATGAATGTTATTATCAATCATTTTGGAAGCACACAGCTTTTCAAATTCTGCTCTTTGATTTTGTATTTTCGAGGCATCGATTTTCGATGAAAGATGCGCGCACGCCTCAGCGATGTTATACTGCTTTGTTCACCGGACGTTGCTGTCAACGGTCATTTAGAGTCTCGGTTTTCTTCCCATTACGAGCACTCGCCGATCGAATAACCGAACATTTGAGATTGCTTCTTTAAAACTTGGTTTTTCGCCGATTAACAAGCAGTTTACCCTCGCCCTCCTGTCGTGTGGACCAGACTTTAGGCTCTCTTGTGTCGCTCTCACTCCGCAATCTCGCGTCGTTTACTGTCGCGACTATCCTGGAAAGTACGGAGGCGTTGGAATTGGTGAGGAGAAAGGTGCGAAAAGAGAACGAGTGAAATAGAGGAAGCGGAGCAAGAAAAGTATCTCTCTCTCTCTCTCTCTCTCTCTCTCTCTCTCTCGATACCTTTCTCGAAAGGTAGTGAGAATATTCTCGAGATGTGCAACGATGCTCGTATTTAACACCTGATTAAAGCGAAGAGAGAGAGGAGCATCGAGCGTTGGCGTGACTAAAGCGATTGCTGCAAGATGAGGCCCTCTTTCTCCTTCCACTACGTTCGCCTCGCACCTTGGTCCATCCCCTTGCCGCGCTTCTCTCGTCGGGGTTCCTCTTCATGGTTTGAGGACATAAGGTGGCCCAGTCGATTCTTCGTCACGCACATATGTGTACAAATATGTGCGTGTGCTCGTGAACCTTTGGCTGTGTGTTGGAATGACGGACGGGACGAAGGCGGGGAGATTGCGGCGGGAACGGGCCCCGAGCGACAGCGTAATCACCTGGACGAACTACCACACACACTACCGCGTTTTTCAGTCCCGCAAACGCGTGCAATGGCGTAGCCGAAACGAGAAAGAAAGAGAGAGAGAGAGAGAGAGAGAGAGAGAGAGAGAGAGAGGCATGTGTCACCCGAAAATTGCGGACCGTCCAGCCCCAGCCACGATTTACGATGGGTCCGGGAATTTTGTTAGCGTCGAAGCGCGACGTGAAGGGATACGAACAAGCTGGTCGCGATGCGCGTGATTCACATGTAAATTGGACATGTCGATTGTCGAGTCGCGCTCGTGGGCCTTGGTATGACGTCGGCGCCACGTGGATTGCGTTTTCTACGATAGTCCACGCGATTGGACTCGTCGCCTTTATCTCTTTGTTTTGCTTCTTTATTTATGGATTTGCACGTGTGTTTTTTTTTTGTAATTTATCTTCTCATTTTCAATTTAGTTTGCATAACGACGGTATAAAGCTTAACAAAATAACTACTAAAAATGCAAAATAAGTTGCATTATCGCACACATGTTACGATTAAAAAAATATTTGAATATTTTTTCTACATGCATTGCAGAAATAGTTACAAAAGTTTTAAGATGCTTTTGCTTTGAAAGGATCGTAAACTTTACTTCGCTTTATATATACATTATGGACTCAAAATTTAAAAGAAAACATGCAAGCTCGCTTTCGTATTTTCACACGTTAATGACACATATTAACAAAATTGTTATCATTATCTTCATCGTTATTGTTATCAAAATTTCCGCAATATTTCTGAATAGAATCATGACGAATAAAGCGGTTTGCTTGAATTCCTTTTCTTTCTCATCTTCTTCAGTGCGTTATCGCACGGTGTTCTTGTTGGTCGAGATCCTTTGAAAATGTAATATTCCCTCGTTAATTTCTCGCCGCGGAAGAAGCGAGAAAAGCGTCGCAGGAAAAAATGCGTGAAATAAATGCCAGGACGCGGGCATGACGCGGCGTCAAAGGTTCGCGGAAATTCGTTTGCTTTCAAGTTTTAATTTTTGACGCCGACTTTATCAAGATGGCAACCTCGTTAACGTCGTTCTGTTTCTCGGCAGATCTCTCGTTTTTTGCCTCAACATGACCAAAATGTAAGGTCGCATTATATGTATATATATTTTCTGGTATTACTACAATATATAGCTGTTAGGGGATCGAAATTGTTAATGTATTTTAATTCTCAATTTCTTTTGATTCTGTAATTTTAGACAATTAAAACGGTGAATTTTATGTTGGAATAGCCACTGTTCTTTTTGAAATGTATTTTAACGTTCTAGTAATAGAGAAGTGACAATACCGAAACACCCTATATAACTCAATTATATTATTTATATAGCACGTTCTGCCCAGGCGGGATATTCGTTGAATATTCATGGACGCGCGCCTTACAAACGTCATTGTTTCGCGCCGGGATGATTATAGAGGCTCCGATCGATCCGGATCATAGCAAACTCTCTCTCGCTGCACAGACCTTGCCTTGTCCTGAGACAATGACTGTGGCTGCAAAGGAGAGGCGCGATCACGCGTTGTGATCTCCATTTCATGACGCGACTGACGAGGCGCGGCTGTTCTCTCTTTCTTCTTCTTCTTCTTTTCTCTTTCTCTTTCTCTGTCTCTCTTTTACCCCTCTTTCTTTTTCTCTCTCGAATGCTTCGGGAGCGTCAGTCAGACTGAAAGCAGCGAAACAATATCTTGTGAAAGATTTTAATTCTTCATCGATCATCGACGTCAGTAGAGGGCAATGTACTTCCGAAATTTATTCAAGACACACGAAATTACCAGACTTGATGTTTCAAATTATGAAAAAAATGGAATGCATGTATAACGAATAAAATGATACGAGGGATTTGTAATCGCTATATGAATTGTTCAATCAATAGCTAGGTTTTATCAATTCCCTTAACTGTAAACAGGTGTGCAGGAATATCGCATAATTTTTATTATAATCAAGATTACATCTTATTACACAGACAACCTCAGCGTAAATTTTTCTGCCATTCCGTCACGTTATCGGTCACGTGAATGCAATGACGTCACTTGTCACGCCCATGTGGAAGGCAAGGAGAGAAACTGAGAGAACGCTGGAGAACGCCATGCGTGGCCTTGAATCGACACCTTGCTGGATCGCTGCCAATCGTGCTCCCAAGTGCCACGATAGATGCTGCACGCGGCACATAGTACCTTTGCGATGAAGAGAGAAATCTAATAAGATATATCAACCAAGTGCAAGACATATCGATATGATTTTCAAGTATTCTCACATTGTTCGCAAGAAGAGTAACGATGAACGATATACGTGCGATATTGCGATATTTTTCAATAATAAAATTAAAACGGTCATCTTCATTCATTGACTTTGTAATACGTGTTGTCCACTTGTCATGATTTACCTGGCCTAGTGTTTGCTATATAATCAGTATGATATGTAGTAGAACGATATGTGATAATATGCAAGCAATTAACGAAAAATTTACTACGATGACCCGTCGAATATGATTATTAGGAATTAACGAAAGGTCGAGTAGTTGTAATTAATTTTTTTCGAGATACCATCTCAATGCCCCTCGATGCATACACCATTGGGATCCAGACTCAGCCCCTTGTTCACCGCATTAACAGGCATGACTTGAAAAATGTGGTTCCTAACACCGTCCTGTCGGTCCTGGTGGAATGACCGACGTATTATTAATGCGTCTTCTTGCCTCGTTTCGTTGATAGTTTAGGCTTCGGATGAGTCGGAGATATTGGATGGAAGGAACAAATTGCAGAATCTAAAATTGGCAGTGTTATGCACGACAACGGTTCGCGTAATACAGCTTTGTTGCGAATTTACACGTGTAATAATAGAAATTTGTTAATAATAAGTAATTGAATAATAAAACTAACAAACAGTAGAAAAATGATAATAAATAATAATTAATAAAAAAATTAATTAAATGTATATTTTCACAAATGCATTGTGGTGCAAAATTGCACGAGCAAAGATAGAATTATTATTTCGTTATCGCTATTAACGAAGTGCATTTTATCGCGGAGTCGTTACGCTTTATTCTTGGGTTATAAAGCGTGATTGGATTAAATTAAATATCATGGGACAATTTTGCAGTACGTCGAATTTAGTTAAACGTTAAGTGAAACGAAAAATGCCGTTACATGCGCATCAGCGGTTCCCTTTCATGTATTGCTACATTATTCCCCCCTCCCCCCCCTCCCGGTGCGAATGCGATTCGTGGCTTCGGTCATGCAGTTAAAAAATCGTTTATAAAAATCTGCTGGTTTGTATACTGGTTTAAATACTTTTATTTTTTTTTAAATTTTTTTTATTCTCGTTTGTTCCATCTATTATGGAACGTGTCAAATCTTAATCTATTATTATGGTTTTTGTGCCCAATTACACGATCTGAATATGTGAATTATTGGTCACGGTTATTTCTTTTTAGAAACCATTTGATTTCTGCGATACGAATTTGTCGATCAACTTTTATTTAATTTTCTTTTAAATCTCTAAGTTGTGATAATATAGTAATATCGTAAACACCTTTCGTGAGAAATCTTGTCTTACCTTTCTTTATCCTGGAGCGGGGTTGCACCGCTCTGCTTCGTGAATTTCTCATCGCTGTGAGTGAGTCGCCTAAGCATCGGGAAGATTCAACGAGCTTAATCTTTGGCAACACCCTTGGAAAGAATCATACGCATTTATAATGGATATCGACTCGTCGCCAATACGACGCTCTCGCGGCTTCTTAACTCCGCTCCGGCTTCTCGAGAGATAAGAAAATTTCCCCCTCGTCAAACGCCCTGAATAAAATACTTCGATCGTAGCCTGATTCGAGCACTTTCTTCCGTGCTTCTTTAAAACTTTAAGTCCTCTCACGGATCAGCGCGAACGACCGCGCCATTACGATCGCTTTCGGAGAACGACGAGAAATCCGTGCGAGTTTGTTCCCAACATAGAACTAGAACTGCATGGTAAAAGCTTTTATTTTTTGCATATGTTATAAATTATAATTGACTTTTCATTGCCACTTGAGAAATTGAGCTTCAGAATGCCTCTGACTTTTGCATGACGACATTACAAAGTCGCGACTCGATATCTTAGTATGAAACTCGTTTGGACCAGTAGTGTTTTTTGTAGCTGGTTTATTCCTTGCGAGTTCTTCGTATGGTCTCTTGCGATTAGTCACGTGTCGCGAAGTACACGGCTTAAAAAGCTTACACCGTTCTGGCTCACGAGAAGTATTTATTCAGCGGTCCGATATCGCCACGCGGCGACGTGAACACATTTCTCTCTAAGCACCTTCATTTCTTTAACAAAACTCTCAAATCTTAACCATGCCGACGGCGTGGAGTGTGATTGATCGCGGCCGGTAGATGCTCGAGACGAAAGACATTTCACTCCGTAGGTGGTGGGAGAGCCTAGTTTTAGAACCGTCTCTCTCAAGGTATTGAAACATTAATGAATTAATAATAAATCACACTATATTATAAAAACACTATATTATGAAGAAATATATATTTATTTATTTTTAAAATGCTTTAGTGGTACGTGTAAAATATTTTTTATTAACAATTTTCGATCGCTAGATATCAAATTTAATGATTAATGATATATTTTATAACAAAGTAGATGACAATGCTATTTTAATCACACACACAAATAAGCATTTTTTTAATAGGTATGATATAAAGAATGTAATATAAAAAAATGAGAGAGAGAGAGAGAGAGAAAGAGAGAGAGAGAGAGAGAGAGAGAGAGAGAGAGAGAGAGAGAGAATCATGTTTAGGAACTGATTTTAGACCAATTATTAAGACAACTTTCCGCTCTCTGCCTTACAGACTTTCTGTTCTACGCGTGACACGTCGCCGAAGTGCGGTGTGTAATCCAAAGAGGGACATTAATGTTGCATAGCGCACGTTAGGCTCAACTCCGCGTCTCTAACAACACGGCAACTAAATCAACATTATTCGTGGCGCTACAGTCTTTCGATCAAAAGCTCAGCCACCTCATTTCATGATTTTGTATAATACGAAACGACAAACATTTTAAAATCGGAAAACAGATAAGATAGTGATCAGAGTGATAACAATGTCTGCTTCCTTAAGATTAGCTAGCAAAATAAGTTGCGCAACGGACATATATGATTTATTTTTCAATTTTATATACTATTTGTCTTATAATTCTGTTTTCACGTTTCCGTCGTTTTCGAGGTAAGGAAGGAAAAAGAATGAAAAAAAAAAAAGAAAAATGAAAACGCGATGGGGAAGGAAGAGGAACGCTTTCATCACCTATGTTTTACGAGGGCCTCTCTTGGTCGTCGCGGGGCAGTTAAGAGCGGGCTGCCGCCGCTCTATGTAATTTGAGCGATCGCGCGGTCGCACCCGGTAATTCATAAGTACGTGTCCTCTTCGCGGTGAAATTTTATAAGGTGAGCAACATTTTATAGGGACGCCGCTCGAGGCGTGGTATCTGCGAGGGAGGGAGGGACGACGTAAAGGGAAGCGTGAGGGAGAAAATTACATATCGGCCCGCAGGACGTACGGACCGCCGCGGACTTTCCACACGTTCTCCAACCCTATGTCCGAGGGGGGGCTCTCTCTCTTTCTCTCCACATACCCTCTCCAAACGGAATACTCGATCGCGATTAAACATACATAGGCACACCTCCGTCGTTCACCTTTAATTCCGCGCGCTCTGCCTTTTGCGTCCTTGTCGCCGACGAAGCTTCCGCCACACTAGCGAATAATTTCTTTTTTTCACCCTCGTCACATCTTTCTGCTCTTCCTTGCACACAGACGCAGACAGTCGAAACCCCGAAACGGGTCTTGTTATACAGGCTTCACGACGATATAATTTTTGTAACATTATTTTTTTCAATTCTTTACCTTTCTCACGTGTTAATAGTGGTGACTTTGATTTTTCAATACCTCCAGAATCTTTTTATTAGTTCCATTGTTTTGTTTTACCTAACCACGAAAATAATTGTTGGAGTCTATTAAGCTCCAACGTGTATTTCTAAAAAGAAAAAGATTATAACTAATGCATAAGCGACTAACGTGTCAGTAAGAAGCCATAAGACTCGGCGCAAAACACGCAATGCCGCTCGAAAGACGACTATCCTACGGGGATATGGAAAAGAGAGTACCAGCTATACAGCGGCATGATACTGGGCAAACGGAATTTTTGATGGAGAGATCCGTTATTTACGGATCTACCAAGTCTATTGTGTACGATCGTGGTGCCAGCCCTTGGACGCCAAGCAAACTGTCCTATAGGGTTGATCGATGTTGCTTCACAGCATTAAATGGAATATAAAGATGGAGAAGAAGATAAAGAGAACTCTCGAGTGGCACGAGCACGCAAAAATTTTAATCCTAGAGATTTCTCATTTTGCATGACATCGGTATTGGCGTATCATATTAAATTTTTCGCTTTGAAAATGAGAAGAAAACAATCGAAGACGACCACCAAAACACATTGCGCGTCATAACTAACTTGCAAAAAAGTGAAGCATTTAATTATTATTTATTCCAATTTTTCGTCATGCGTTTTTTGCTTCACATAATTTAACAAAACACTGCAGCAATATTAAAATGTTTGTTAATTGTTTCATCGTGGGAAATTATACAAAAACATTTCTTTTTCTAATTATTTCTCTTGAGGATGTACAACTGTTTTCAAGTCATTTAACATTTCATCACCGCAAAACTTTCCAATCAAAGTGTACTTTATTTTAAGATGCAACAAAGTAAACTTATACAAGAATCTAAAATTAGTTTCATTAAATACTGACTATACACATGCAAATCTGTGTTTGTTCATTCAGTGCGAAAATTGCTCGTTAGATCTTTGAGACAGGCAAGGCGAAGACTCTCGAATCGTATTTGGCGGTTTTCTGGAAATTGTCGAGGACTCTCACGTGGAATTTGTAACGTCGTGGTAGAAGACCAGGTAGAATATGCCGCTTATATAGTCTCCGGGACGCAAAGGAATGGCAGGGAGCCGTTCGTAGAATATTAATAACGATCAACCGCGTATACATGGGGACACATGTTCGCACACACGCTAATCGTCCTCCATCCGGGTCCGGAGATCGCAATCATGGCGTATAATTATTTCAGTATCCATGCTATTTTTATCCGTCACCCCAAGTCGCAATGCAGGTAGAAACGCGTCGGCCGACGCATATAGCGAAAAGGAACTTTTTTTTTTGCCTTGTTACCACTCACTTATCGCGGTTAATATTAATTGTACTTTTCGAAACCTCGATAGCACGTGTGACTCAATTTTATTTCTATATTTAAGCAGTGATTAATATTTACGTGAACATTGCGCGACAATAATCTTTTTCTTCCAAATTTTCATATTTTACATATTTTGTATTATTACGAGTGAACAATATATATTTTCCGCATAATGAATAAATATATCGTTACGTTATTGTACGTCTGAAATGGAGATTGTTTAAAATTAAAAATGATTAGACTTTTAAAATATATAATACAAATTATCAAACGACACCATGTAGCGCTGTAAATACAGTTAAGGATTAAACGTTTTATCCGATGCACCAATGCAGTGCACGGAGCGCACGCTTCGCGGCAACCAGCACCGCATATTCCATTAGCATGCATCTCAAGATCAAACGCTGCGTTCGCGCTGCTCATCCGAGAAGCCTCGGTCCCGGGAAAAAGTTGAACTCCTAAAGACGGGCACGTCGAGCGCGCGCCTTAAAATTCTCACGGCGATCCTGCGAGACCGGTAAACCGTTGGCGTCGATCGCGTAGTACGACGGACCTGATAGTGGTTAGATGTCGTGCGGATAGAAGAAAAACAAATTATACGCCGACTGCGCGCGCCGCGAGGAAATGTCTTACCAGTTACGCGAGAACTGCTCACGCCGTGTCTGGGTTCGCTAATGTTTTACAAGATGTTCGTTTTCAACGTTTGAAACGTGTAAGTTTATCTCATCGTAA